CGAGTTGGCAATTTACTTTGAGAATTATTTTATTGTCTTTGTTATGCTGCACAGCAGAATTGGGCAGACGACTTTCATGAATTTCATTAACATAATCAAGTGGCAGGGAAAGCGAAAAATACACGCTTTTCCAGAGTTTTTACTTTCATGCTATATTGTTCCTTTTAGTTTTTATTTAATTTGATATCAGTTTAGTAGCAACAAAGTGGAAAAAGCTTTAATTTAGTAAATTGTTCGAAATAAGTTCACTAAATATTTGATTTACTTAGAAAATTTGTTTTTAAGAAACAACATAAAAGAAATCAAGGACTCATACTATATCCGACAATTTTTGTTATTATTAGATTTCAATCAATTACTTATAATTCAATATGTATACTCGTATGTTTTGTATAACCCACCATATAGTACACTAAACATGGAACACTTCTAAAGCTTCACTGTTATTTATAAAAAATCCTTCACATTGTTAGTTATATTAATTAAAACAGACATGGAAAATTTACTTATTAAGAAGTTACTCGCTTTGAAAATAAAATGAATTTTTATGCAGAAAACAACATCGTTGCGGTTGCAAATTTGTTGTTTTTTTAATTTACATGTACCTTTTGTTTTTGCATTATTTCTTACTAATCTTTCGTGTTCCTTAAAAACATCTAATCAATTTCATTCAACTGTAAGTATACTTCTGAAAAATATTGAAATATCAGGAATGAATGATGAGAATAATAATAATGATCTCAGTAATGAGAGACCCTTAGCAGATATGGTGACAATAAAATAATTTCTTGAAAAATATTCTATTTAAACATTATCTATAACCCAATTTGTTATCCTCGTATGCTGACGATGTTGCATCCTATATCCTATTGTAACTGCAAATAGACTTTCTACCTTTTTGCAGATACATATTGATGATCTAGTCCAGGGCTGTCCAAAGCACAGCCCGCGGTCCATACGCGGCTAATGTTGAAACAACTGTATGGTCAGCCAAAACGTCAATTAACTAAAATAATTTAAAATGAATTTTTGTTGTTGTAGTTCACTACTTTTCGAAAAACCTCTTGATAAGAAAGATATATATTTATTTCAATTATGTGTTGAGGTAATTTGACACCCACGCCGACATAAAGTTAAGAGCGTATTAACAATTCAGCATAATAGATAATCATCCCAACAAATACCATATTTAGATTTATTTATTTATTATCAACCAGAGAAATTTTAGGGATGAAAGGCTATGTTGACTTCTTAATTCTATTGCAGTGATTTTTTCTCCTTTGTTCACTCTACTTGAGAGCATATGGTCTCAATCTAATTACGATGTCTTATTTTATTTTGAGATGTTTTTTGTTGTGTTTTTAATTGTGTCCAGTTCCGTTCTGTAGACTCAAGCTCTGCTATCACCGACCTTCACCATTTATTACATGGTGTCTCTGGTTTTCGTATAAATGGGTTTTTTCGAAACGTGCCCTAATCCATCTCTAGTGTCTTCTCATTATAAAGTATTTAATTTCTTTTTGATTACAAAGTTACCAGAGCGTTTCGTTGCTTATTGTATTATGGCAGCATACTTTGCAGATTATCAGTAGGTGTTTGTTATTGAAACTTTGAAGCTTTTTTATTTCAGACGTGTTGCTTCATAGCGCGTCATAGATTTCAAACACAATAAGTAGATTTCCATTTTTGTTGATCTTGAAATTTGATGTGATGACTATACTGTTCTTAATTAACCCAAAGTTTTTCTCGTTTTGCTGACTTTGACATCTATATCCTTGACATTCTGGTGCAGTCCAGGTAATTGAAAGACATAAAATCCTGGATTGCGCTGCTATCTAAAGTAAATGGGCGGGAATTATTATAAATTGAATTAACTCGTGTATTAATGTGAAGGCTTTTAGTTTTACGTAAGTTTAATTTGCTGCAAAAGAATGAATCTCGTTTAGTTTGTTATGCAATATCGTTGAATGAACTGCTTAAAAGGTGTAAATTGTCATTATAATCAAGGTCTTCTAGTCTGAGGAAAAGTTTCCACACTATGCCTTTCACTGAACGACTAACCTCGCTTAAATTGTCACCTATCGTAGTAATGAAGAGCAGTTGCGACAAAATGCAGCCTTGTTTAACTCTTCTCATGATGTTTTTGGGTTATTGATATTGTTACAATGATATTGTTACTTGTGTCAGCATACATTACCTATATGCTATAAATATGCCTATAAATTTTTCTGATATTCGTTTCTTACATTGCGAATTCTATATGGCATTATGTTCAATAATTCGAAAGCTTTTTCGACAGTAAGTACAAAGGATCATTCCATTCGAGAGATAAGTGAAGATTGTCTTTCATTCAATCCATTTTGACAGTAAGTACAAAGGATCATTCCATTCCAGAGATAATTGAAGATTGTCTTTCTTTCAATCCATTTTGCTTGTATTATTTAATTTAAATATTTAAGTTTTTTAATATCATTTTACGATTTGCTTATAATTCTTTTGTCAGGAATTTACTATAAACCCATCAACACACAATAAAAAATATCTAATTATGTGATTTATACATTACTGATTTAAACTTCATAAAAGTGACAACCGAATCATTATATCACTTTCAACATTTCCATCAGTCTTTCTAGTCGAACCACATTTAAACTAAAATCTATAAAATGTTTGAAACAATTTTACTGACTCTGGATTCACAAAGCAAAACCATAGTGTTAAGTAAATATTTTGGCTACAATTACCGAAACCAAATCGGTGAAACTAATTACTGCAACGAAAAACATATCGATTGACATTTTGGTTCAACCGCTTAAATCACTTAGTGGAATTAACATTATCGCATCATTTGCACAGGATATCGTAAAGTAGTGTTAATGGTGCAATAATCACGCTTTTTGCAATCCAAACAAGGACGTTGATAAAAGCCCTTCACACTTACTTTGTACGAGAACTGCTCCTGCTTCTGCTTCAGCTTCAGCTACTGCTACAGACATAATGTTAATTTTGCTAAAGGTGATATCCTTGCTTCGTTAATTTGCTTGTTCTTTTTTCTGCTGGAAATAAAATATTTTGTTGTCGTCGCACAAAGGACATTTGTGTTTGTGTTGCTGCTTATTTTATTTACTTGTCTCTTGATTCTGGAAAAAATACTACAATCTTGATTGAAGTTCGTGGATGTAGTAATTTACCAGTAGCTGTGGTGCAGAATTTAAAGCATTTGTGGTACGATAAAAGGAAACGGATATTAAAAAAGGAAATAATTACAGTTTATCTAAACAATTAACATAATGGCTGAGAAAACGGGATAAGGAAATAATAAAAAAATAATAATTGCGAGTATATAACACTAAGTTAAATATTGTTATAGTGTAAAGACCCGTTAACTATTCTGACTTGTTATTTCAGATATATTTTTTATAGGTGAAAGGTTAATATTTCATTCAAAATATTTAATTCATTAGAAGTAAATTCTAAGTTCTAGCATGCAGTTTTATTCTTTAAATTCTTTAAATTATATTAATTATGAAATTTCCATTGAAATTGTTATAGCCAAAAGTAGCAAATAAAATAACTTGGCATATATCTTGACATAAATCTCAACTGTAGAATATATACTTAAACAAAACGTAAATATTTTAACATTGAAACCGATTAAATATCTCTTATATACAAAACCACAATAAAACCTGTGTGAACTAAAGAACGCGGCTTATCCAGTCGTTTAAGGATTGATATTATGCAAAAGCATCAATCCCAAACGTTGAGATTATTACTCAACGTACCATGCAATAGGATATTAGGAATTTTCACATGTATACAGATTTTTATATAACGTATCGACTGTGCTTGAGAAAATTAGGTGGCACTACGTTAAATACTAATTTGATGAAATAAGACGTTTTACTAATTTGATGAAATAAGAAGACTAAAAAGTACACCATATTTTAAATTTATCATATAGAAATTAGGTTGAACTATCTAATAACATCTGAAGTTAAGAACCTAACGGAGAACTAACGGGGTACTGTGCTATGACATCATTGCTTCCACATTGATGTATAGAAACAAGTCTATTATACAGAAGTTATCATAATGAAGAGGAAGTGTGACTATCATTCACTTTCTATACCTTTGCCTCAAAGTCATCAATGTCTAGGAAACTGTTGTCACACTCGTCTAACAGAGTTAACAAAAGTAAGCTTATTGGATCTCAGTAATTTCATCTTAAAAACCAAATAATCTGACAAAGATAAAACGTAGAGCCACATTGAAAACAATAATCAGTGTAAATTACTTTCTGCTAACAACTTTAAGGAAGGGCATCACAATGAGAAATTGGGACTTTTGTCTCGGAGCATAAATGTTGATATTTGCATCAACACGCGACTCTTAAATCTAATCTAAGAAAAGATAGTATTGATTTGATTGATAGGCATAGATAATTGAATATCAACAAATACTTGAGTTAAACAAATAATTGAGAAAAAGTTTGCGATCAAGGACAGAAGAGATGATAGTGTACTATCGTGAAAAAATATTGTATATGATAGATCATTGAGTTTTGGTGCGATTCAGTTTCTAAGAGAACTTCCCAATAAATGTTGCGATGAACGGTATTTAGTTACTCACTTCTCAAATTAAATTAATCCGTGTAAACTTTACTGTGATGACGATACAAATAATAATAAACGTTATATGACTGGGAAAATAATACTACTTTTACGTTTATTGTCTTGGGTTTCTTTTTATCATGTCGACATAACTAGTATCAAAAGTCTTCACTGTTCAAAGTTAAATTGTGCTTTAAAGCTTTTGTAAAATGTTCTTATTTGAAACACACTTTGAAATGATCTTAACAGATAGATTATAAACTATATAGCCACTCTCTATCATACGATCAATTGCACAAAGAAAATATATTCAAATTTGAATTTATTATATTTAAACATGTACTGTTGATTTTAGTTCTTTAATTAAATTATACTAATGCAATTAATAACAAAGAGAAATTCACTTTTTTTAATATAGAAATTATTAAAATTTTTTTCATTTTCTATATTTTCAGTTAATACCGCACCATGCCTTTGAACACAGAACAGTTGCAGGCGGCCTATGCACACCGCCGTGATATGGAAGTTCAGCACGCAGAACGAGTTGAGGCTGTTAATCAGTACTACAATCACTGGAATAAAGTAACAAGTCGTTATGCTAATTGGACCAAACCAGAGTATTACGAAAAAGCTGAAGCGAAACTTAAAAAGAAGAGAGAAAATATTGAAAAAGAGAAATCTCTCAAGGAAAGACGAGAAAAGTTACGTGAATTGCTGAAGAAAGAAACAGATATGTATGAAAAGGAGATACTTGAAAAAAAGAAGCCAAGGCATCGAAGAATTACCGCAGAAACTGAGATGTTGGAAAGAGTCTATGGTAATGAACAATTGCGGCAGAATATGAAACGTAAATTAGAAATGGAAGCCAAATTATTTGGCAGAATGCGTTATGGCAATGATGACGAAAATGCATTATTTAAGTCTAAATCTGATAATCAGGTACTGGCCAAACTAAATTGGCTAGATAAAAAGATAGATGATCAAATACAACGTGATAAGGATGAAGCCGAAGCGCGAGAACAGAATTTGCGTTTGCAAGAAGAAATAAACAAAGCTGAACAAGCACAAAAGGAGTGTCAAGAAATACGTGAAAAAGAAATCCAAGAAATTAGTACACTACAAGAGCGTCATATGAAGGAACTCAAGGAACGACAAGGTGAAACCGAACAATTAAAAAAAAAAGAAAATGAAATGCGTGATCAGCTGGAAGACTTGGAGAAAGAATTCATATTGTTAAATGAGAGCGCAAAGGTTGTGTGTAAACCAATTGAAGGTTTAAACGCTTACAACCTCAAAAAGATAAAAGTAGTTATGCGTGCACGTTCTGATATCTACCGTAAGCTATTGCAACTTTCAATAGATATTCTAAAACGTGTACAGCCAGTAGCCACTAAGCGTGAAGATTTTGATCATTTGATTAAGAAATATCAGGATGAACTTGGGAATGAAGCGCTTATACTTTCACATATTGATGCAATGTATGAATCTGAAGCAAAAATCTGTATGCAAGGTTGTGAAAAGAAATGGCAGGATGAGCATATGGAACGCTATGAAGCAATCAAAAATTTGTTAAATACGGAGCAAGTTAACTTATCAATGAAACTAGATGAAAATTTAAAAAAGCAAAACGATGTTTTAGACATACGCACTGCACATCTTACTTCTATCGAGACATTAAATGAAAAATTGAAACAGCTGACAGAGGAGCAAGAACAATCTGGGAATGCCATTTTAGATGTACGAAAACTAACACCAAGACCTGTTGTATCAAACGCAGTCATTCCACAAACAGAATCTGCAGTGAATACGCCACGATCAACTAATTGCAGTGAAAGAGTCAAGAGTTTGATACAAGGGGAAGAAAACGTTCCTTCACCGCGTTTACTAAAACCCACTGTTTCGAATAATAAATTACCAGAAGCGGAATCCCCAGTGAGTACACCACGTTCAACAAAATCCGTTGATACTGTCAAAAGTTTATTAGAGCTCGAACGAAATGCTTCTGAACCTCAAATAACAAAATCAATTGAAAACCTTAGCATTGCAGGTAGCGTCGATGAACAAATTAAAAGAACTAGTCCCTCTGTAGTCAGTATTCAAAGTGCTCAGCGTCCTAAATTTGGACGCAAAAAGGTTGCGTGGAATTAAATTTCGAAAATGATTGAATATTTAAATTTTTAATGGAAGCGGGTATTAGATAGTTAAGATATTATGGAGAACAAAATTGAATTGGATGGACAAGAAAGTCTAATTGTTAAAGAGAGCTAAATTTTTTAAAGAAATATGTATATTTTTCATGCTATATTTTTTTTTTGTTTGTAAAATTGGTTATGTCTTATTTTGATGTGAAGAGATATTGATAATGTTTATGTAAGAAATTATAATAAAATTTAACAATCTAAAATATTTCTGTTTTTCAGTTGTGGTCTATTATAAATTTCAGTTTTGGTCTATTAATAATTAATAATTACAGAATAGAAAAGTAAATATGCCTTGTTGGGAATAGGATGGTTAAGAATGGTCTATCCAAGAAAAATTTTTACTCAAATAACGTTCAATATCTTAAAAATGGTTAATTTAAAAAAACTTAAAAAAATTAAGTCATACTTTAATGAATTGAGTTTTTTGACATCTTCTTTTTGTGTAAATACTGAAAAGGAATCCAAGTTATGGAAGATCTTTTCGCAATTATGACATTTTGTTAAGAAACATAGTTTTTTAAAATGTATTGAATTTTATATTAAAATAATATTCACAAATTTAGTTTTATATTCAGTAAAGATTTTATGGTATTGGAGCAGTAAAGATTTTATGATACTTGAGCGTCAATTTTTCTCAATTCTATTCTGTAATATTAGGCGTACCGGTATGAAATGAGAGTTTTTTGGTGAAAATAAAACACTAATTATCAAGAGGAAAGTAAAAAAGATTTTATTCAAAGTATTGGCTATTGCTTTCTATACATTTTGACCACCTTTCTGGCAATTTGTAGATACCACGCCAAAAAAATTGTTCGTCTTTTAAAGCAAACCAACCAGACACCCAATTTTCGACCTCCTTGTAGGAATCAAAGTGCTGCTCAGCCAATGCGTGTCCAATCGATGAAAACAAATGGTAGTCGGAAGGAGCCAAGTCTGGTGAATACGGCGGGTGGGGTAGCAGCTCCCAGCCAAGTGTTTTGATTGCATCCTGAACCCGTTTTGCTTTGTGTGCAGGTGCATTGTCATGGTGCAGAATTACCTTGCCGTGTCTTCTGGCCCATTCTGGTCGTTTCTCGATCAATGCATGGTTCAAATTTATCATTTGTTGTTCATAGAGACCAGCATTGACGGTTTCACCAGGTTTTGGGATCTTTCCCATAGCTTTTAAACGGTCAGAAATTGTTTGTTGTGCAACATTTAACATTTCTGTCATTTGCTTTTGACCCAAAGTGTCATCTCCATCCAATATCGTTTGCAATTCGGCGTCTTCAAACTTTTTTGGCTGTCTTCCACGTTTTTCATTTCTCACATCAAAATCATTATTTCTGAACCGTTGAAATCATCTTTTGCATGTTGCTTCTAATAGAGCATGATCACCATATGCCTCGACAAGCATTCGATGCGACTCTGCACCACTTTTCTTCAAATGAAAACAAAAAATGCTTTCCGCAAATCATCACTTTCTGGTACAAAATTCGACATTTTTAACACGATGAAAAAATATGATGTGGTCTGTTCAATGACTTGAAGTATACTAAATATATTTCACACATGTCATAGCAAACAAACAAAAAAAAATAAAGGCTCGTTCACAACAAATGTTCCCTGTCGGAACATTTGTATCTTTACGCTCACTTTATACCGGTACACCAGGTAGTGTCAGAAGTCAGTTTCCTAATCAAAGTTAGGTAATTCACACAAACCAACGATTAGAAGTACCACCACAGAAACTTGTATAGCAACATTAGATCACATGCTCTTTGCGGATTGGTAACTAATTCGTTTCTCGAGATTATGTTATCATCAAAATTTTATTTTATATTGTCGATGGTTCTAGGCAAAGTATGTCTTACAATTATTCACAATTTAGTTTATTGAATCAAATATCATAATTAGACTATAAAAAACATTTCATATGAATGAATAAAGGACATCAAAGCAATAAACAACACTAATAAACAGTTGGCAAGGTATGTCGGTGAATACTTTTTAACAAATTAACTGAAATCTGAATAAATTGAGAAAATACACAAAGTCTTGCAATAGTTCAACGATGTCTTTATTTTTCTGAAAACAAAAACCGTTGATCTTGGAATTGAAATTCTTGTATAAATTGAATTTTGTAAATACTTAAGCCAAGATTTTTGCTTAAAATCTTTAACATCGTCTATAGGCAGAGTACTGAATACTGGCGACCGGTTGATCTGTATGTCAACTTTCATGAAGCGAGATATATTATATACACTTTATTTTTGTGGTTCATTTGTCTTAGTGTTTTTCTTTTTAAAATATTTTGTAATTAGTATCAAAATATGATGTCACAAAGAAGTATTTTGTATCGGATGATCGATGATTTCAGACGTCAAATGCTGTTTTTTTTTTTAAAAATGCATACTTTGAAAAAATAAATGTACAGACAGAAACGAATAGGAAAAGGAAAGATACGCAAGTATATAGACTTATGGAATGTTAGACAGAAAAAGTGTAAAAGTTGGGAAGAAATGACTAAAATTATAATAAGAGGAACATAATGAGACTTGTTGAAAGAAATAAGCATTAGAGGAGATAAGAAATATGGAATAGGAATAAAAAGAAAATAGAAATCAAAGTGTACACATTTTTTACAGAAAGTAATTAAAAAAAGTAACATTGTTAAAGAGAGATGAAAAAGTAAAGGAGAAGGGGGAAAAAGAGGAAAGAGGAGAATTAAAGAAAAAAAAATAGTACAATCCCCAATCCATCTGTCTGTTCTAAAAGATTTATTGTAATAAAATATACAATGAATATACAAAATTAAACTGGGTTTACGGATCTAGATATAATGTGAGAAAAAGAAAAACCAATTCAATTATAAAAAAGACACAATTATAAGTAAAGAAAAAGGAATAAGAAGAGTAGAAGAGAAACGAAGAAATGTATTCGAACTAAAGTTTGAGAGCTTAACCTCTTCGGTCCTGGCGTGCAGCTAGCTGGACACTTTTCCACTACCATTTCTGAAAGCTTTATTATTGTATATCGATCTGTACAGCCCGCTAATAGTTCTCTGGTTCTTAATTTAGGGCACTTTTTGTTGTAATTTTGGGAATACTTTAAAATAATGCCAAAAGTGTTTGACCACCTCTTGAGAATTTGCTTTTATCGTCGAGTGCAAGAAAAATTCGGTTTTTTTTGTACTATTTGCTTGCTTTTCGATATATTTGATACTTTTGTTTTGGTTAAAATCTTGTTTTCTTTAAATTCAATAAAAATGTAAATAATTAGCAGTTATATTTTTATGATATTTTCTGAAAAACATATTATGTCCACTTGGTACAAAATGGCAATGAGGAAAGAATACACTGAAGATAAAATTTTGGAGCTATTGTTAAAGAGTCATATTGATGACGCTTCTGATGACAGTGATAATGAATTGCTAGATCACAATGCGCAGGAAATCTCCCAAGAGGACTCATGGAATATTGGTAATCAATTGAAGTAAACACCTTTTAATTATTTATGTGATTATATCAACGAACAGTGTACTTTTATTTTAATGAAGTACACAGTTTGAGTATATTTTAGCTACTGATTTTATTTAAAATAATGTTGTGTTTTTATACAAAAATATTTTAAGACTAATTTCTACATCAAGGTTAAATTATTATGATTTTAATGGACTGTATTACATTTGTCAAAAAAGGTTAAAAAAGGTTAAAAAAGGACGGAAGTCCCAACACTTGGGATTTTCCTCCTATTGTTTTTATGAATATATTTTATTTTAATAATTTAAATACGGTTGCTAAAAAATGTTACTATTTATCTATATTTTTCCTTAGTACATTATTCTAAGAATTTAGGTGATAATATAAACTATAGTAATTAAATATATGGTATAAATTCATGTTCATGATTGAACATTCTGCCGGAGGTCAAAACTCATGTTCGTGATTGAACAAACAGTTTTGGGCTTTTTGTAAAGTAACATACATGCATTGCAATGCAATGTTGATTTAAAGTCAACCCCAAGTGAATATAGAAAGTTAGTTAGTGTATACATCATCGCAGATTGTATGGAACTCCTTAGAAGTAGGATGTATTATAGACTCTCCATTAAAGTAGCTGCAATAACGTAAAATCCAAGAGATCGGTTTGTAAGCTTACAAATTACATAAATTTTGTAAATAATTTGGAAGTAAACTGCGAAGAGAAGTAGAAAAACAGACTTTGGAAAATTCAAGCCATTTTAGATATAGTTATAAACAAATACAATGTAATTCCTAAGAGTCAAAAATTGGGTATCGATGAACAAATGCTCCCCTTTACTGGAACTACTCAATTAAAGCAGTATGTAGAATGTAAGCCGAAACCAAAAGGCCTAAAAAATTGTTTTATTGGCTTCTCCGCATAGGCTTGTCCATGATTTTTTCATTTATCAAGGAGCAAAAACGTGGCGCTGTGGAAAACCGAATCCATCATTGGGCAATGGAGGCACAGTTGTAGAAAGTCTGACCAAAAACGTTTCCAAAGGCAGTGAGATGTTTACAGATCGATATTTTACCTCCATGAAATTGATGACTTTTCTCTTAGAAAATAAGATTTATGCTACAGGAACAATTCAACACAACCGGATTCGGTTCGGTGGATGAAATTGTTCATTAGCCTTCCAAGAATGAAGTGGAAGACTTATTCAAAATTTTTAATTTTTATTTGCAAATGAATGATACTACAACTAAGGATCACTATAAGACTTTAAATAAATTGGAATTTCTTTTTACTGAAAATAAAGGCAAAAATTATCCCATACCCTAACTTCTGAATATTGTCCTTCACTATAGCTTTTGTGCTGTATTTGATTTCAAATAAATAAATATCTGAAAATGTGATTCTAGTTTCTTTCAAAAAAAAAAAAAATTCTCTAACTCGATGGTAAATGGTAATTCGAGTTATGGGAGTTTGTCTGTATTTCAGGTAAGGGGATATATATACGGCGCATTTATTACATGAAGTTTAAATATTGTATTAAAAATCTTTTTGAATACTTTGTTATTTTTTCTATGTTGTTATATATTATTGTACTTTCAATCAAGGAAGACTTCACTAATTAAAAAGAAACTATAAACAAAACTATATTTAACAGAGGAAGCCCTGGGCCTGATTAAAAAGAACAGATACTGGTAAGTTAATTGTTGA